TGATGTTCCAGGTCATCGCTCCCACTCATTTTCGTAGAAATACGCAAGCCCTGAGTCTAGTCCACTTAGTTCTAATACTAGTACCTAGCTCTGAGATTCACAGCCTTGAGGATTAGCCAAATAAAAATGCAAAAAATAAAACACTCATTATCGATGGGATTTATAGAGAAAGAAACCAGACCTGTTAACATCCTGTTTAGGTGCTAGATTAAAATGGTATTCTGGAAGCTTTTTCTACCCTGTTCTGTCATCTCCTGTGCCTTCCGATCGATCTGTGTTTATCTTTCCATAGCCCTGTATACCTCTTTACCATGTATTAAATGCCACACTGCCTTCTCAGTCTCTGCTCATGTGTGTCTCTCTGACTACCTTATGTGCCTTTGCTAACAGGGATTGGGATCTTAATTGGATTTGTTTCTAGCAGAGTGCTAGGCACATCCTAGGGGCTGTCTGTGGCATGGATAGATGGATGAATTTAATTCAATGACTAGTTTAAAAATCTATCAAAGCCTACACTTTATAGCATTAAGACTACTTATTTAGGTGTGGTATGTTGGCACAACAGTTGTATCTTTTTGTTTGTTTTTTGTTTTGTTTTGTTTTGTTTCGAGACAGGGTTTCTCTGTGTAGCTTTGTGTGTTTCCTGGAACTCCCTCTGTAGTCCAGGCTGGCTCGAACTCACAGAGATCTGCCTCCCTCTTCCTCCCAAGTGCTAGGATTAAAGGTGTGTGCCACCACTGCCCAGCCAGTTGTATCTTTTATTTATAGGAATGGATTATTTGTTCCTCAGCCATTCTGTGCTAAATGCCTCTAAATTTAATTGTCTTTATGCTTAGACAGTTAGAAAAATCTTGGAAGAAGTGTCTGGCTTCTTTTATTATTCAGTGTTCAAACCACTGTTATGGTCCATCCACTCTATGATTATGGAGACAATGACTTTCGAGAACGACACAGCAGCCATTTGGGAAGCTGACTGTCCAGTTTATCCATTTAAAATCTCATTATGAGGCTTGGGTTATCTCATTATGGTTAGCTGGTGTAAAAGCATTTGCCACACAAGCATGAGGACCTGAGTTCAAATCCCACATAAAGCCAGACCACGATCTCAAACAAGGTAGAAGGTGAGGCCAACACCTGAGGTTGTCCTCAGGTCTCCAAACTCACATCATAGCATGCTTGTGCCCACATAGACAATCATGCCTTTGTACTTGTATACACACACACACACACACACACACACACACACACACACACACACACACTTAAAATAATTTATCATTGATAATAATAATAAGAGATCACTATCTTCCACTCCTCCTCTTCTCTTTCGAATCATTCTTTAGTGTAAGGGACTTAAAATCCATCACTTCATCTTAAAAAGGTAAAAAACTGAACAAGCAGGGCTAGAGTTGGCTCTGTGATTAAAAACACTCGCTCTTGTAGAGGACCTGGAATCAGTTCCCAGTACCCATATGGTGGCTCGCAGCCATCCATGATTCAAGTTCCATGGGATCTGGTACCCTCTTCTAACCTTCAAGGGCGCCAGGCATGCCAATAAGTTGCACACACAGGCAAAAACAGTTAGACATGCAAAGTAAATGAATCTAAAGAAGAACAAAGTAAAACATTGTTTGTAGGGGATGCGGAGACAGCCCAGTTGGTAGAGTGGGTGCCGTGCAAGCATGTTAATCTGAGTTTGAGCCCCAGAACCCACATAAAAAATCCAGGTGCAGGGGCACAGGCTTACAATCTTATCACCAGAGGGACAGAAACATGTAAACACTGGGCCTTGCTGGTGGCTTAGGCAACTTGGCAAGCTCTGAGCTGATGAGAGACCCTATCTCAAAAACAAAAACAAAAACCCAAGGTGGATTGCTCCTGAGAAACAACACAATTG